CAACTCTCTGAGTATGGTTATCCAGCCAGTTATGCACCCACCTTATAATAGCCCCATCTAAATTTTATTTGCCTAGTTTATCGATAAGAATATCATGCGAGACCGTATCAAATGCCTAACTAAAGTCTAGGTATACCACATCCACAGCTTCTCCCTTATCCACAGCTTCTCCCTTATCATGCAGTAGAGGCACTGTGGGCACCCTGCCTGTGTCACAGACCTGGCTGAGTCCCCCTGGTGGACAGTCACCAGATTGCTGTAATTGGGCCCAACTCTTAGACCCCATGTGCTTCCAACCCAGCTGGGTCTGGACTGAGTTCAGTCATGGCTTCTAGCACGACAGCACTACGGCACTCACCCAGGTCAGCGCTCTTGTCTGGTGCCCTTCCTGGGATGAGGGACTCTGCAGTCTAGCTGCCCTGGCCCCTGAAGCTGAAACCTCCTATATTTCCCCAGTCACACATGCACGTTCTCCAAAGTTCCACCTTGCTCTGGAGGCTCTGGTCACAGGCGCCAGCTTCTTCCTTTGACCAGGGGTGCTCAACCCCTGCTCAGCCCCAGGCCCCGCCCCCACTCCACCACTTCGCCCAAGGCCCCACCCCACCGCTTCCCGCCCCATCTTCACTCCTCCCCCTTTCTCCTCAGTGCTTCCTGCATGCCACAGAACAGCTTAGCACCCACTAATTTTTCTTCAGCATCGCAGACATAGCCTGCCTACTCAGGGGCCCGTTCTTGGTACACAACAGATGCTTTAATCCACGCTGAGGGTTACAATCATAACTTCTATGCACAAAACAAAACGGAATTTATAAATGGACACAGAGATCGTCCCCAAACTGTCCCACCATTTACCCAAAATACCTTCATAGCCAGGAGACTGTTTCTGTTTGCTTCCTGGGCTTGTCACCTGGACTCTGAACGAAAGACACTGCCAACCGTTTGCTTGGGCACCAGCATGCCCAGGGGAAGCGTCACAGAATAAAGCAAAACATGAGAGAATGAAGCTTCACAGAATGCAGCAAGCGAAAAGAACTAACTGCTGAAAACCGAAAATGTTCCACACTAGTGACATGGGTTCATATCATTTTTTTTTTGTTTCTGAAAAACAGCTGTTTTGTTGTGGACTATTTTGCAGGAACAAAGTCTAACCACTTCCAGGAAAAGGATCTCCATGTGAGTTTGCTTGACTGGTGGTCAAGTCGCCTCCCACCTGTGGTTATGCTTACGAGGAAGTGTCTTTGGCGAACTGGGAAAACACATGAACAGCTGCCTGACGCCTCTTTCTCCGCCTTTTTTGCAGCACACGTGCTCCTGGGCACATGGGGTTAGACAAAGGTGAACAGAGGCCATTCTGGGGGGAGCCCCTTGGCTGCTCATCCCTGAAACAGGCTCATACAATCGTGTTAGGTCTGAATCCTGGGTTGTTGCAAATAGCCATGGGTTCCAGTGGAGTTACACTGATTTGATGGCTGAGAACCTGCCTGAAAATGCAGTGCCTCAAATGAAAACGAATATTGATGAGTTCTTTTGGAGGATCCCCCAAAAGGTGCTAAAATAAGCAAAAGAGACTGTCCCTGCCTCAGAAACTTGGCGATCTAAACTGGAAGAGGGGAGATTAAACACACTCATTTGGGCACGGATACATAGGAACTGCATCAGACGTGGTCCAGCTAATGCAGCACCCTGGCTCCAGGTGTGGCCAGCTCCAGCTGCTGCAGAGGAGGGGTGAGAACCTTGCAGTAGGCAGTTATGGGATTGCCTGCACCCAAAGGAAACGTCTTCACAACTCGCATTAGTTAGGATATGGCTACACTTAAAATACTTACAGCTGTGCTGCTGTAGTGGTTCAGCGATGGGAGGGATTCTTCTAGCGCTGTAGTTAATCCACCTCCCCGAGAGGCGGTAGCTTGGGCAACAGAAGAATGGCTACACTGGGGGTTAGGTCGACACAGCGTAGCTATGCTGATGTAAGTTTTCAGTGTAGAGCAGCCCATAGTGGGTGGCTTAGGCCTGAAGCAGGAGGCATCTATGCTGCTCCCAAAACTCTTGGTTGTTTTTGTTACCTACTCTAACTCTGGATGTTCATATTATCCATAACATCCATTTATAATCCCACTAAGCTCCTGGGCTCTGTGGTATCTTGTGGCAGTGAGTTCCACAGGCTAATTGTGCAGCGTGTGTACAGAAAATATTTGCTTTGACCTGTCTCATGTCCCCTTTTATTCCTCTCCTCTCTGCAGCAGATGGGCTACACCAATGTTATATGTATTGCTAAGCAACAGGGATGCAAATCCTGCAAAACTACCATTGGCCCGAACGGGAGTTTTATCTGAAGAAGGCTGCAGGGGCTAGCTGAAGGTTGATGATCATTTGAATCATCACCTAGCAAAAGACCTTGTAGATGTAGTGATTAAGGACATAAACACATGCGTTTTCACAGGTCCTTACTCAAAACTGAACTGGGATGCCACAAAATCAGCCCCCACATTCACCCAAAAAAAAAAAAAAAAAGAAAGAAAAGAAAGAAAGAAAAGGGGAAATTCAGATTAGTCACAAAGAAGTTCCCCGCCTGCTGCTGCTGCTGTGTGTGTATAAAACCCTGAGCCACTCCTGAAGCCACTTTGTTCATTTCCTTTTGGGACAACACACCTACTGCTTCTGCTTCATTCCCTTCAAGAGATTTGCCCTTTGTGCAGAAGCAGGGGAGGGCTTTTTCTTTCATCCAGTTCTGCTGGCAGGTTGGTGGCAGGGAGGCTGGGATGGAAGGGATGCTGGAGATGGAGGCCCAAAGGCTGGAAGAGCAGCTGGAGCTGGAGAGGAGACAGGTCAGAAGGAACAGGTTGCAGCTGGTGTCTGCAGTGGCCCAGTGGATAGTATTGCTTTCCTGCTTGGTCTACTTTGGTCTTGGTTTCCTGCATCCCCCTACGGTAAGACCATATGATAAACCTCATTGCCTTCTTCCGCACTGTAAAGCTCTGTGTATAAAGAAAGCATTTAGGGCCATCACCTTGCATAGTGGCAAGCAGAAAACCCAATTCTTAACCCTTTCCTACTGATGAGCCCTTTTTTCTGTGCCACCCACCGCAAAGTATGTTCTTACAGACTGCCGGGTTGGTGCTGTGTTATCAGGCAGTGGAACTGCGCATGCAAAATTGCTGGCCCAGTGACAGAGTCAATAAACTGGCCTCAGTGGGAGTTCTGCCTGAGTAAGGACCGAACGACTTGGTTCCCCAGGTGAATTTTGGTCATATGAAAAAAAAATATTGAATTACTACCTCGCTGATTGTTATGGGCCCAATTGTGCTGGCCTTACTCATGTTGAGTAAGTACACATGGGACTAGTTACAGTCGACTCCATTGTACTACTTGGGTGAGTAACTGCTGCTTAACGGGTGTAGCAGTGGGATAATCAGGTTCTGTATTATTTGTAAACGTCTCATGTACTGCTTTAATCTACTCTATATAGCTATATAAGAAAGAGAGAATGTTTGTTGCAACTTTTGCAAAAGCTGTAGAACACAATTCTGTGTTCCCAGGAGTCATCTAGCTAGTTCTTTATGTTAAGCCTTGGATGTAATTATAGATATAAATGAAAATGTGTGTTTAGAGAGTTTCATTTATTTTGAACTAAACTCCAAACTCAAAACAATAAGAACTAGCCTGCTGCTGGGACTGCTTTTGGGAGAGTTGTACCAAATATTTTCTTTGTTTCTCATTGCTAACAGTCTCTGGGTCCTCAGCACTCTTTTGTTGTTATTTCAGTGCAGATCATGCAGTAGCTGCTTCTCCTCCCACACGTTCCCCAGGTGCTTGTGTTCACTATGTTATGCTTCACCTTACAGTGTTCATTCTTTCCTCCCACTTAACTTTGTAGGTAAAATGAACCAGAGCTATAAACCACACTCTGGTTAAAATGGCTTTAATGCTCGATATCTCTTGCTGCTGAAGTGAAATCCATCTTTTCTATGCCAGGTGCATGTCAAAAACAGTTCCACTGAATTTATGAGTCATGTAACAGAGACCAGAGACTGTCAAAAATCTCTCCCAGCCCATTTCATCCTTTGCACACAGCAGATGCTATGTGTGAACTGAATCTTTGATTTCTCTCTCCTCTCTTCTCCATTCTCTCCCTCTCTCTTGAAGAGAGTCTTCCCACTTTTGGGCAATTGGGAAAGGCAATTTATTTTGTTCAGCTAATGAAACAGCATCACATTATACATTACAATACACGTCATTCTGGCATTGCCTCTTAGTGCCACTTAGTTCTGTAATATTTTAATTCAAAGCCTCTTCGCACTGAGAAAGTTGGTGCTGGTAGCACATGTGAGCTTTATGAAAACAAGAGAGCAGTGAATGTGCAGGAGACATAGTGCATGCCTGGACTTGCCATTCCTCACCAGAACCTAGACTTGAATGGGTTGTTAAGGAGGCAGTTCCTTGGCAAAGTTGCTGGACGACCCTTTGAGTTTTAAACGCACACTTGCTAAGCACAATTAAAAAAAAAACACGTCCCATTATTTTAAATAGATAATCATGGTCTCCTGTATAGACAGCACCATGCATTACCCAGGAACCCAGCAGGGCTTTTGAATTCTGTACAGGGGTCACTGCACTGAGCTGGAAGGCAACAGCTAGTTAAGAACACCCAGAAACACAACACAGATGTCTAGGACAAGAGCCAACAGAGCTGCATTGATTTAATCTGCTGGGGAAAATTAGGAAGAAGATTATAATAGATTCTCAGCCTGGTAGGTGCACTAAGAACTGTGCTGGAGCCTAGCCAGGAAGCTGGGCCTTTTCTCAGGAAGAATGCATAATGTTTGCCAGTGCAGAGAGCCCAGATGTAACCTAATTGCAGGAAAGAGATCATGTGTTTCCGATAACCATAGTTTTGATTGCTATTTTATAGTTATTGTACAATCACATACCCTTATATGAGATGAACCTGTTGTATCCAATGTCCAAACAACTGCAGAATAACCTTACATGGATTAATGTGACACAGTCATGGAATATATTACATCATCCACACAAACATTTAGACTGTGTTCACCAAAAGCTCTAGACGGCTTGCTTGTAAGAGCATACTGCTTTGTTTAAAGGAAATACGCACACCCTCTCCCTCCACCCCAGCAAAATGATCCATGACCTATAGGATGGTTTGCTACTAAGGATGTTCCATAACCCAAGAATACATCTATATTATGGGTCTGATCCAACACCTGTTGAAATCAAAGGGAGTGTTCCCATTGACAATAGATCAAGCCCTACAGAAGGATGAAATATTGGTTGTCCGGATTATCCTTGCAGTAGTTTAGTGCAGACCCATTCACACGGTCCCCCTTTCAGCTGCAGTTGTACCAGTGCAGACGGGAATGCCCAAAGCACCTACCTCATAGTGCACTGCTCTGGTGCTTGAAGCACAAGCTTTGGGGGTAATTTCCAAATGATAAGCATGCTGCAGTCAGGCCGAATCTCTGCACCTGCAATACTTGTGACTTCCCATTCTCGCTGGGGTTAGCCCCTGGAGACGGCACCAGTTTGGCTAGACCTAATCCAAAGACCTGATCACAGGCATTGTGATCCATGCATCCAGCCAATGCTTGTGATGCTCCCAGGGTGGTTGATTTGGGCAGACAAATAGCCTTCACGGTGTTGCACATTAAAAACCTGCTCATGAAGGTTTGTTGCAGCACTCTTGTGCTAATGTATATCAATACTGAGGGAGGTGTAAGTACCGTAAGTAGAGGCATTACCCATGGGCTCAGCATAGCCAGGAACAGGACAAAGTTACAGAATAGCCATGATTCTGTGATGAAATGATGTGATCCAGTTCTAATTAGCTCTCACTCTAGCTCAACTACGTTATCGGGCTGGGTGCAGGAATCAGTGGGGGGACGGATGGTTCTATGGCTTGTTTTATGTAGGATGGCGGATTAGATTATCATAATGGTTCCTGCTTACTTTAAAATCAATGTGTTTATGATTTTGCTCACTGGGATTGCCTTGTATGATACACACACCATTCCTAGGGGGACACCTGCCATGCAGTGCTACTCCATGAATACAATAAACAATACAAACATGACAACAATAAAAGGTCCATGGGAATCTGCTTACATAGCGTCTCATAGAAAGAGATATTTAGGGGACTCTAAACAGGCTTAAAATATTGTGTGAATACTGCATGGAATTCTTTAACTGAGGTGCATTGGTAACACAGCAACTTCTCAAGGTTCCTTCAGTGACCCTACTGGGTGCCAATAGTTATGGAGTGCTGCCTCCTTAAATCCTTTTCTGTACACAGTCATATGGGCAAAACAGAAAAAGAATGGGTCAGGAATTGCTAGCTTCTGCTTATTTATTTATTGCATCCCTACAGATTCTATAAATGGGCTCATGGATCCCCACTCCCCAACCTCTCAGAATTTAATGTTGGGTAATTAATGTTTGTAATGTGCTTTGAGAGCCTGAGATGAATGTGGCTATGCAGGTGTGAAATATTAATGTCACACATAGTTTGTAAAACATAAAATAAGGTAGAATTAAAATAATATAGCGCCCGAGCTGAAAGCATCCCATCACATTTCAGTCTACATCAGCAACTGAGTGAAACCCTTTAAAATAATATGTTTGGGGCCCAATCCTTAAGTGTGTAACTGCTCATATGAGTAGTCCCATTGAAGTCAATAAGGTGACTCATGCAAGTAAAACTATGCATGTATTTAAGTGTTTGTGGGATCGGGCCCTTAGATTTGAAACAATGAGAGACTGGTATTAAGTAACACTAGAGGGTGCCAGTGTCGCACCTGAACTCCCAAGGTTGGATCAACAGACGTCTTCATATCTCCAAGAGTTGTGCTGCAGCATACAAGCTGACTGTACACACAGCTATAGGAAGCAATCTCTCCCACGCGTTGATCCCTTTGGTTTTGTCACAGGCATGGAGTTCAAATTGAAATTTTAGTTGTGTATTTTCTTGTGTATTAAATTCTTTGGACAACTGTCCAAGTGCCTGGAGTGAGCAGAATGATTTGTTCCTATAACAAATCAGAATGAATCAATCAGATGCATACAAATCAATGAGTTCTCACAGTGCATCCTCCGTCTGGTCAGCCCATTCCTGTCATAGAAAACCCAAGGAAAGGGTATAGTGGAAAAAAAAAATACAACCCTGAGCCTGCATTTTTTAACCAGGCAAAACTCCCAGGACTTGTAGCTGTGAGGAGACTGGGGGGGGAATGAACGGGGCTGGGCTGGGCTGGGCTGGGCTGGGCTGCCGTGATGCCTCCGCCCCGGGGCCGCCGCGGGATTGCACCAGCTGGGCAGCAGCCCAGACGCGACTGGCCAGGGGCTGGGCGCAGCGTGTGCGCTGCTCGGTCCCCGCAACAGGCCCAGGCTCGGGGAGTTCGGGGGCGCCAGAGCCGCAGCCGCCGAGCTTGGCCATCGGCTGCTTCCTCCCCCCGCAGTAGTGGGAGCTGCAGCAGCGGCTGCTCCCAAGTCCCGCTGCCCAGGGGGGGAGAACAGCCGCCGCCTGGCCCCGCGGGCCGCCCCCCTACTCTCCCTACCGCCCGACTGAGTCCTGCCTGCGCTTGGGGCCAGGCCGGACTCTCACTCACCCTGGCCCCGCGCTTCCCCGCGTCTCCCGGGCCTCCCTCCACAAGCGCCGGAGGGAGGAGGAATGGCGAGCCCGGGGAAGAGGCGGGGATTCGGGGAGGGAGCCAATGGGGGAAGGAGGGGGCAGAGTCGGGGGGGGGGGCGCGAGCACTTCCGGGCTCCGGAGTATTTGCTTGTTTGTCCAGTGTCCCGACCTAACATTGGTCAGGACGCGGGACAAACAAGGAAATATCGGGACAGTCTCGATAAAATCGGGACGTCTGGTCACCCTACCAGTTGCAGTGTAAAGTGGCTCCTCCTGGTGATAAAACACAAGAGAGGATGGCAACAATGTAGTGAGATGGTGCAGGAGCCTTGTTCTGCCCTGAGCATGGAGTGAATTCCCCCTCATACGAATATACTCATGGCAATAAAGCTCTTTGCTGCTTATGATTCGTTATTTACTATTCACCACCTGTATTTGTTATGCTCACTTCTACAAAAGTTTCAGTGATCCAGGTAGGGAGCAGAACCACCGTGTGACTGAGGTGATGACTCGCATGCCACAAATAACAAATAGCAAATGAGTAATAGTTTGCAAGCCCCTCAGAGATTAAAAGTTGTTAGGCCAAGCCATTTGGCAAATGCAGGGTCACAAATACATCTACTGAGTGAATAGGAGAAAGGGCTAAATTCATCACATAATTTCTTTACAATGCATAGTCTGACCAGCTCCAATAACGAGGAATGTTTCAAAGGATTAAAAAAATTATTATTTAAAATTCTGATGAAAACAGCTTTTTGTTTGGATTTATTTGGATTTAAACAGTCACCTACAATGTCTGAAATTTGCAACATTTCATCAGTGTGTGGAAAACCTCCCCAACTGAAATATCCTACAGAATTTAATAAGGATGAAAGCAATGGGGATAGATAGGAATGGAACTGACATCTATAGAAAGAGCTCTAAAAACCTCAGTGAGTGTAAAGTGATGTAGTGCCATTGAAGATAATGGAGCTACACCAATTTACACTAGCTGGGGATCTGGCCCATATAATTTAATAGAAACTATCTGATAGTTGCCAACTCATGATTTTAGGATGAGTTCCATGATACTTGGTAATTTTCTTAAAGCCCTAGCTGCTGGAGTCAGGTGATCATGTGAGTAGTTCAGCTTTCTTTCTTTTTTTTAAATAAATTTCTAGCTCTCAGGATTGTGGAGAAAAGCTTAAAAATATGAACCCTAAAAGCTGAAAAACAGAAGGAAAATAAAAATTAATTCTTTTTAAAAATCTAATAATTTTCAGCCAATCTCATGATTTTTGGATGTTGCGGTTGGCATGCTGCTTCTTTTTTAACCATCTTATGGAATGTCATACCAGGAATAATAATTCACTATTCTATAGGCTACTTAAAAAAACTCCTATCACAAGGTTATCATTTTAAATTACAGTCTATAGAACCCGCCCATCAGAGCTGAAAGTGAAATTGACTAGGAATCAACATGAAACTGTCTTGACTGAAAGACTTATCAAAAGCAAACAAATAGCACATATGGCTAACAATAAATTCAACCTTTTAACATGTTTTCCACTGTAGTAATCCATAGCTGCAGTAGTATTACAAGGACAGAATTTTTTTTTTACATTATTATTTTTAACCCACAGTGTCCTTTTAAAAGATTAACTAAATACTTTTTAAATTACAATAGTTGAAAGGTCCCAAACCATGGCTCATTGTCTTCAGTGAGGTTTGGATCAGAATAAAATGTGTAGTCTTAAAAATTACAATTCAAGGAGGAGATCCTGCAGTCTTTACTCCGGCACTGAAGAGATTTGCATGAGTGATAGCTAGAGGAATGGGGGCCACATTTTAAAAGCAAAAGCTCCTAAGAGCTGACATCAAATCTGTGTGTTCCCTGCCCTCACACACAGCAGAGTCCGGTACTCCAGCTCTCTGCAGGCAGCCCACCATGCCCTGGGTTACAGCTGTTCAGGCAAGGGCTGTCCCACAACGGGAAAGAGCGAGGAGGCGGTGGCTGGGAGGAGAGAGGCACAGGGAGCGAAGGACCAGGAAATGAAAATGAAAGTGAAAGACACTCACACCCACTGCTCCGGATGATGAAACCAGCAAGCACCAGTTGTATTTGCATGTGTCAGGGCTCTGCTGCTTTCTAGATCGCAGCTGCAGACTCCGGTGGGTGCAGCATCACCAGAGCAGCAGGAAAACAAGGCTCCCCCACGCTGGCCTTGATTACAGGATAGCGCTGGAGCCTGGGCCACAATTAGGGTGACCAGATGTCCTGATTTTATAGGGACAGTCCCGATTTTTGGGTCTTTTTCTTATATAGGCTCCTATTACGCCCTCACCCCCGTCCTGATTTTTCACACTTGCTGTCTGGTCACCCTAGCAACAATGGGGAAATGGAGCTACCCAAGGGATAATCAGGCCTGTTAGCAAGAATGGAGCTGCTCCCTCCACAGCTGGAGACAAGGGCCTGCGGGCCCCGGCTACACCAGACACAAGACCTGGCACTGCCAGTGGTTTTCAAACACAGCTCCTGGCTGGCCCCCTCCCCAGCTGAACTCCACTGGGGTGAAATGGCCTGTTTAGTCCCGGCTGAGCTGTGAGGCCTGCTCGCCTCCTGCTGTGCTGAGGTTTGTGTGTGTGGAAGGGGAGCTGAATGAACAAAGTTTTCAGGCACTGCACCAAACCCAGGTGCTCTTGGCAGGAAGAGCTTGTTGTTTCCCCAGTACCCCAGCCTCTGTCTCCGGTGGGGCTGTGGGTGGAAATGCTGGGGCCTGGGGAAGGAGAGAGTGTGCTAACTTTTTTGCAAATACTCCCAGGGTAGGGGGCAGTGTGGCCTAGTGGACAGAGCATTGGCCTGGGTTCTATTTCTGGCTCTGCCACTGGCTTGCTGGGTGACCTTGGCCCAAGTCACTTCCCTGCTCTGTGCCTCGGTTTCCCCATCTGTAAAATTGGGATAATGATGCTGACCTACTTTGCAAAGCATTTTAAAATCCACTGATGAAGCAGTGGTCAATGAGGGTCGGCATTATTAGCATAATTGAATCTGGTTCTATCCAGAAAACTCCCCAGCAGATCCAGCTATGAGCCAGAAGCCAAGGAGAGGCACAATGCCTGGGACTGTAATGCCCAGAGCTGCTTAAATCTGCTGCAGAAAGGGTCAGCATGCACTCCGTCCCATTGCCTGATAGCAGGAGCATCAAGGGGGGCTGGGCTGGGCTGGGGTCCTCCCAGCCTGACTGGTCAGGCTTCCTTGATTGCTGGTGGGAATGTCCCCTGCATCCTGGAGAGCTAGAAACTTAATCTTTTTTATAAAAAACCACAAAAGCTAAGGTTCTCATGTAATCACAGGATTCCAGGAGCTGGGGTTTAAGAGAAACACCAAATATCTTGAGACTTGCCATAAACAACACTGTGAAAAGCTCTTTCTCCCCTCACCACACATCTGCAAGGAGAGCTGGAAAGTTCTCCCTGAATTTGTAGAGATTATTAATCTGGTTTTTTGTTTTGTTGCTTTTTAGACTCCAAAATCCCAGTGGATCGAAGTTGCAGCCACAGGTGTGTATTTGTTCATTATAACTGATTTTTTTTCAAGTTTCTATTTCATTTTTTCATTGAAACATCCCTCCCCCTGGAAAGAAATAAAATGGTGGGAAATTTCATCAAAAATAAATTGAAGAAAATGTGTGTGGGAAATAAATGATATTTTTCGCAGGCTCTGCCTCATGTTACCACATAAGTGGTAAGTGCCCAGAGACTCAGTCTCCTTGCTTCCTGTCACCCATCTGGCTCAGGTAAGACACAGCTTTAGATGGTAGGATGCTCAATGCTGAGTGCAGCATGTAAGTGTCCTGAACTGCTGTCCTGGGTTTTCCTCTCCAGGGCAGTGCAGGGCCTGATCTAAAGCCCACTGATGTCAATGGGAATCTTTCCATTGACTGTGGTGGAATGATGGTCCAGAGGCAGGTCTTTAATGGTGAACTCCAGGACTAGAATCCCAAAAGCCAGCAGTGCCAATCCTTGGTCACGGAAGAGAGAAACAGGAGACAATAAAGCTGTGTGCTTTTATTATCCTTTTAAATATTTATGCAAATGAATATGCAAATGAAGTAGTTTTCTTGGATGTGTGATTTGCACTCCTCTGTTTTACATTCCCTGGTCCTTCAAATATGTTGCATCCATCCCCACCCTTTCCAGCTCTCCCCCTCGCTCTTCTGCTCTCTCTAGCTCTCCCTGTCGCTTTTGCTCTCTCTAGACCAGGGATGTTCAAATTGAACATCAGGACAAGTCTTGTACAGGGCTCTACACATTGGGGCCCCAATCCCGACATGGCCCTCTGGATGTTACTGTAATATCCATATTCACTGCTGCTACTACATTTTCACAGTGTGAACCCCACCTTCACAGAGAGGGGCTAAGATTCTCATTCACACTGAGGCCATTTTACACCCCTCTGGAAGGCTCCTTTACACTGCCAGAGCAAGAAAAGGGCCATCGTGTTACTGAGAATCAAACCCAGAGCATCTTGTGATCCTCTCCCATCACTTCCCTCCCATTTTAAGGCGCTTCATTTCATCTCTCCCCTTCATCAGATCTGTTCCTCTAACGTGGAAACAAGAAGAACCAGTGCCAAGCCAGCTGTCTGTGTGCCACAGAGCAAAGCTGCGGAGCCTTTGCCCTAGACCTTCCTCCCTCTCCATTCCATCCCATTTCTAGTTCTCCCTATTTCCTTTGAGATTTCTCTACTCTCTTTGTTTCTTCCTATGCCCACGCCACATAAAATCATCCTCTTCCAAGAGGGTTTGAGGGACTCACATCTCCATGGGTTTCTGTTTGCTTCTTCCACTCCAGATTACGTCCCCAAGGAGAAACGCATCAATATCTCTTGGAATCGGGGCACCATGAACGTCAGAAACCTCTCCATCCCGATCTACTGTGATGGCTTCTACCTGGTCTCCCTGAAGGGAACTATCAGGGCAATGCCCCAGAGGAATGCCTCACTGAGCCTTAAGGTGTACAAGCGGTCCGATGCGTCCATCTTGTGTGTGAAGGTCACAGAGGAGGTAGTAGATTCGGTGACAGTGTCCGAGATGCGGTTTAAGGATGAAGTCTACTTGGAGGCCAACAGAGATGCCAACTACAAAGATTTGACACTGGGCCTCTTCTTACTGACTCCTCGCTCACACTGCTTACCAGACGCATATAAAATGTAAAGTAATGCCCCTGCGATCAAATAAAACTGGGAATTGGAACCCAGCACCTAAACTCATGGGAGGGTTATGTCCAATAGGCTGTACATGTTCAAAAAACCTACCCTGGCCTGGCCTCTCAGGGGCTTGTGGTATGTCTGAGTGAGATAGTTCTCATGGCTAGTGCAAACAAGCCAATGTGCAAATGGTCTTTATACAGCACATGTCCTGTTCCTCTCTTTGGGGCTTACCACAGTTATTTTGTTAGCTGAAATGGGAGAAATGTACAGTGCCCTCAAGAAGAATGAAGAGGACGCCACTGAAAATTACCAATGCTTGCCTCAGAGTCAGCGGAATCCTGGATTCTCTATTTATTTGATAATATTTGTATATAATTGAAATGCTGTGTACATTTGCTGAAAACAGTCACTTCAATCAAGAAGGGACCTGGTTTGTCTTGAAGCCACCTGGGCAAGTTGGAGACTCCAGGGACCCACCACACAACCTTTGCCTCGTTGTGAAGGAAAAGATGAAGAGATGGCAGGCAAGGTGTCCCCTGCGGTGATCCAGATAAATGTGCTCTGAAAGACTCAGGAAATGAAAAAATAAAAGTGTTTGGAAGTGAGAGAAGAAGGCTGGAATGGACCAGTGAGAGACTGTTAGGAATGGCTTTTAAAAAAGAAAGATACAAATTAAAATGCTGGCAGTGTCTAATAATCTGTAAACTCAGTGGCACCATATGTCATATGCACGCGTGCGTACGTGCGCGTACACACACACACATACACACCCCTGAAGCTCTTGGGTCATGTGAGCCCATCTCTAATACGCACATTTACTCACAAATACACACAAAGATTTGGATATGTACCCTCAGTGACTCCGTCATTTATTCAGACACTCATGCAGAGCCTGATCCCATACCCACTGAAGGCAAGAAACAGATTGCTGTTGACTTTAATAGGCCCACGGTCCCTAATCTCTTTGGAGGTAGTGAATTTGGAAGACAAGGACAATCTTTCCAGGGGCTAAGTGTAGTATGTCAATTGGACACATACAGAAACCTGGCACAGAAATATAAAACAATTCCTTTATGGTGGGTTTGAAGTAACAATTTGTCTGCAGAGCAACTGACACAAAAGTGTGAAAAAAAAATACATATTCCAGGCTTGATTCACATGCAGTGGGAAGGGGAAGAGGTAATCCGTACCTCCCAGGGACTGCTGTGCCAGAGGGGTAGAGCACAGTAGTTTTAGATCTATTCAGTGAGCACAGTATTATTTTAGACATGGAGTGGGATAGACTTTCAGAGGTGCAAGTGGAAGTTAGGTGCCTACTGGCTTCCAGTAGCTGCCATTTGTGCCTTTGAAAGTGTAAGTTTAAAGTGTAAGTTTAAAGAGCCTGTGTGTTTATACCCGAGGTATGAAACTGAGCTTTCTGCATTATGGTTCCAGCCCAGCAATCTCTGCATGTGCTCAGCATTAGGCATGCGAGTGGTCCAGTTGACATCAATGGGATACTCATGTTTGAGGTTAGGCATGTGCATGAGTGCTTTGCTTGTCAGGGTTTGTACAAGCTCTTGCTCCTGTGTGCCCAGAGGTTAGGAATGGCTGCTGCAAACCTGGTAGGTGTGCATGAGGAAGCCCTCCTGGGATGCACCTTGGTGACTGTGCAAATCCTAGCATTCTTTGCTCACACGTCCCGTGTGCAAGAAGAGGTTTCCCTCCTGCAGATTTCCTAAGGTGTCGAGCAGGGCAGGGCATTCTCATGGTGTCTAGCCAAATATTTCCAGCTATGGAATGAACACATACTGTTGCCTTAGTTGCAAGCCAGAAGAACTTTGAAGTCCTGGCAAGTGGAGCGCCTTCTCCCCCACCTTTCATCTTAATTAAAAAACAAACAAACAAACCCTAGGAAATTCCATTTAAGCAAGAACTGTTAAGAGAATGTTAAGACTGTATGGCTAATCACTGATATACAGTATCAGGGAATGCCACAGTTAATGTTACATGCACAACCTGAACCCAGCTTTCTTGCATGTATACCTATAACAATAAAGTCTTTAAACATCTGATCTCATACTATTTCTCAAATAATACTGCATATCATACACTTTTTCTACAACTTTAAATACACATTTGTAACATCTTCTAGTGCTTTGTGTACGCCAGACAACAGAGTTCATGTAATTCATTTGCATGAAAAGTATATACTAGATGGGACTTACCCAATGTAAGTATAGCAATATGGAGCAAAAGTGAAAATGAACTAGGGTATGTGTAAATATATGCTAATTAAATTCACAGCTAAGTTAATTTCATCCCTTGAATGGAAGTTTGGGTTGCTGGTTGAAAAGATAGTATATAGATGCTGACAAAACTACTAAAATACATTTTGTAGGAAGAAAGGACTGCACCTTGTAAAACCCCTACATCAATAAAGATACAGGCTGGGTTTTCAAAACTGCCTAATGGGAGCTGGACCAGATTTCCCAATAAGTGTCCTGGGAACAGGGCCTCCAAATCATTAAATGGCATTCAAAAGCTTTGCTACATTTTAGGGGACTGGAATGACAAATGAGTAGTGTAAATATAAAAAGAATGATGCGAATATTATGAGTAGGTAACGTATCTAAGTTTGTAGAAAAAACAGGATATATTGCATCATCTGAGAAATAGTATGTGATCTTTTAATTAGAGGAGGCATTATAATACAGTTGGGTTAGGGGGTAGAGTTATGATTTCATGTACAACTGACTGGAGTGCTTAGCTATGCAACCATGACATTTGCCTACCATTGCTTTTGTATGGGATGTGCTGTATATGCTGCACACAGGCACTGCAGTGAATGTAGAACTGACCCAGCCTCAGTCAATCCTCTCCTCCACTGACCCAACTCCTGCAAACCTCCCCCGGTGAGGCTTTCTGTCCCTCTTCCCATCATGAAAGGCCATATGGCTCTATGAACTGCTAAAGCTCCCAGCCACTACAGGGTGCCAACCAAATCCAAATCCTCAGGGCAGGTTCCTGTGTAGAAGAGTCAGTTTTTTCAGCTTGGGTTTACAATGCAGTTCTCACCACCTTTGTCCTACAGGTGACACTGGCTAGTAAGCACTAGGCCAGTACATACACTAGCAAAGCAGAATGACCTTTCTCCTGCGCAGCTCTCGGGCAGGTTCAGCTGTGCTAACCTCTGCCAGCCGGCTAGCTAGACAGTCATTCAGTCCCCAGGGAGACTTTTCATTTGTTACCTGAGCGGGGAGACCTTCATGCCCCTGTTGAGCTGTGAGGAGTCTCCTACTCTCAGAACCCCCTTCAGCCCTCCTGCTGTCCAGACAAGCACCCCAGTGGAACCCCCAGGGAGGCTGCTGCACTCCTCATCTCTCAGGATTTATAGCAGAGGCTGCTGAGGGTCAGGGCAGAGGGGTATCGTGGCTTTCCTCATTCTTTCACCTCACAGATACTGTACCAGTTGCACTGTGCCTGGAGTCGGCTGCCAGCCCAATAGCCACCTGAGCATCTTATCTCATCTTGTCTCCTTCCTCAGAAATTGGGCCAAGTGAGGATGTGTTTCCATTACTGACAAATAATAAAACATTCCTCTGTCACCTGTTGGCTTGCATTTCCCTTTGTTGGGGGGAAGGGGGGATTAGAGGTGAATGGTCCTGGGTGGAGCAATGCTGGGGAGAATATACATTCTGCTGTATGTTTTCACACAGGGTCACACCTTGGTCCACACACGCTTTTTCACCAACCTGGCTCCCCAAGTGTGTGCAAACCAGAGTTTCCTACCAATACGTGTGGGCACAGCTGCAGCCTGCACACACGGGCGGATTTGTGTGAACTAGGCATCAACAAACGTGCACAGGCCTGTATGTGAATTTGCACCCAAATAATTCATAGCTTCATAAACTTTAAGGCCCAAAGGGTCATCTAATCTAACCTCCCGCATTGCACAGGCCAGAGAATGTCACTCAGTAATTCCAGCACTAAGCCCCATTCTTGCGGTTGAGCTAGAGTATATTTTGTAGAAAGAGACATCCAATCTTGAGTTAAAGATTTCATGATCCATCACGTCCCTTGCTAAACTATTCAGTGGGCTAATTCCCCTCACTATTAAAAACATGCACCCTATTTCTAGCTGTAATATAACTACCTCCAGATTCCAACCACTGGCTCTTGTTAGGCCTTTGCAAAATTAAAGAGTCCTGTACGATTAGAAATCATCTCCCGATGCAGGTACTTCCAGACCATGATCAAGTGACCTCTTAACCATTTCTTTGGAAACATAAATAGCTTGTGCCTCTTGTGTCCCTCAGGGTACAGCAGACTTCCAGACCTCGCATCACTCTTGTAGATTGTTTCTGAACCTCTTCTGATTTGCCAACATCCTTTCTGAAGTGCAGACACCAGAACAGGACACACTATTCCAGTAACAATCTCGCCAGCCCTGTTGTCATAACTATAAAGGGAAGGGTAACAGCTCTCCTGTGTACAGAGACTCCAAATCCTTTTACCTGTAAAGGGTTAAGAAGCTCGGGTAACCTGGCTGACACCTGACCCAAAGGACCAATAAGGGGACAAGATACTTTCAAATCTTGGGGGGGGAAAGGCTTTTGTTTTGTGCCCTTTGTTTAAGGGGTTGCTCGCTCTTGGGACTGAGAGGGACCAGACATCAATTCAGGTTCTCCCCATCTTTCTAAACAAGTCTCTCCTATTTCAAACTTGTAAGTAAAAAGCCAGGCAAGGCGTCTTAGATTTACTTTGTTTTCTCAACTTGTAAATGTACCTTTTACTAGAGTGTTTATCTTTGTTTGCTATACTTTGAACCTAAGACAGAGGGGGGTCCTCTGAGCTCTTTTAGTTGATTACTCTGTAAAGTTATTTTCCATACTGATTTTACAGAGATGATTTTTACCTTTTTCTTTAATTAAAAGCCTTCTTTTTAAGAACCAGATTGATTTCTCCTTGTTTTAAGATCCAAGGGGGTTTGGATCTATATTCACCAGGAGTTGGTGAAAGGAA